GCCACTCAGATCATTAGCTGGTTTCCTGAGCTCTCTGAGGTTACAATACCAAAAGGTTGGGGAATCAAATGAAGTATAGTTGGTCCTCCTTATCGGTGAGTTCTGTATCTGCTGACTCAACCAACTTCAGATAGAAAATATTCAGGGGATGAGGAATCGATGATTGAATCTATACTGAATATGTAAGACTATTTTCTTGTCATTATTCCCTAAACAATACAGTTTAACAACTGTTTACACAGCATTTGCATCATATTAGGTATTATAAATAACCTAGAGATGACTTAAAGCATCAGGAGGATGTACATAGCCTTTTGCAAATACTACTGCACAAAGGATGGCTGTATTTGAAAACTATATAATACTGTATATTATCTCAAACATGTGTACATCAAAGGCAGAATAAGATGAACCTAGGGAGCAGAGAGAGGCTTTAAAATGGAGTTAGAAGATTTTCATATTGTAGGTTTGTATTATGAAAGTATGAGAAAATCAGATTATTATTTATCAATGTGATTATGAGGGAAAAATGTGATTTATCCCACAGCACTAAATTTGGGTGAAATACTTGCCATGGGGAGTTAGGAAAACCTATTTATGCTGAACGAACCAGTGGCAAAACACTTGCATCTGGTAGACTGCTTTTTACTTTAAGCAAGTTTCCTGTACTCTAATGTTCTAATGTCTTAGAGACATTGTCTCTACTTTATAGATTTCTTGGAAAAGAAATTAAGACATCATTGCAAAACCACCAGTAGTATTAGTTTCCTATTGCTGCTGTAATTAATTACCACAAAGTTAACAGCTTAAAACAGTACAAATTTATTATCTTACAGCTCTGGAGGTCAGAAGTACAAAATGGGTCTCAATGGGGTAAAATCAAGGTGGAAGCAAGACTGTGTTCCTTCTGTAGGCTGGAAGGAAAATAATTAGTTTCCTGGTCTTTTCCAGCTTCTAAAGGCCGCCCACATCCCTGAGCTAATGGCCCCTTTCTGCATCTTCAAAGCCAGCAGTGGTGGGCTGAATCTTTTTCCTGTTGCCATCTCTTCTTTCTCTATCTCCCTCTTCCAATTTTAAGGGCCCCTGTGATGATATTGCAGGAAACGCTTTCTATTTTAAGGTTAGTTGATTAGCAACCCTAATACCACCTGTGACCTTAATCCCCTTACCCATGTGAGGAAACAAGTTCCTAGGTTCCAAGGATAAAACATGGACATCTTGAGGTGGAGCGTTTTTCTGCCCACCACATGAACTATAACCTATTTTTAAATCAATGAATATCAAACACGCAATAGGCCAGCTATTTTCCCAAATCTTTGCCCTCCCCAGCCCTTTGTGGCTTGGCTTTGGAACGTGGAGGGGGCGGGTGGTAAGAAAAATATCTTTTTCATGTAGTGCTAAGTGGTGGTGTGCTGGTCAACATTTAACAATCAGATCTAGAAGGGAGGAAGAGGGCCGGGCACGGTGGCTCACGCCTGTAATCCCAGCACTTTGGGAGGCCGAGGCGGGTGGATCACGAGGTCAAGAGATCGAGACCATCCTGGTCAACATGGTGAAACCCCGTCTCTACTAAAAATACAAAAAATTAGCTGGGCGTGGTGGTGCGTGCCTGTAATCCCAGCTACTCAGGAGGCTGAGGCAGGAGAATTGCCTGAACCCAGGAGGCGGAGGTTGCAGTGAGCTGAGATCGCACCATTGCACTCCAGCCTGGGTAACAAGAGCGAAACTCCGTCTCAAAATAAATAAATAAATAAAATAAAATAATTTAAAAAAATAAAAAAAGAAGGGAGGAAGAGGAGGATGGAAAATTGATCTGTAGCATTTACTGATTTCCACAGTGTAAATATTTTCCACCACGGTCAGTTTCAAGCTGCCAACATGAAGTCAAGTAGCTTAAAAAAATTTACTGAAAATTTGACAATCTATTCTCACAGTATAAGCCAGTACAAGGAAGCTACAGCACAGCACTAGACGTATATACACCATGACAGACTACCGCCTAGGGCATGCAAGTTCCATTCCTGAACTGAAGACAATTGAAGTATACCAAATTCTCTCTCCAAATTTCCCCTTTCACCTGTAGGATTAACTCTTCCTGGACCCCATCGACATGACCAGATACTAAAGAGCTGGTTGATTTTCACATCTTTCTGTCTATTAAGGATCAAAAAATATCCACAAATGCTGGCAAGGAATCCAGTCTACTCTTCTCTCACTACGTGCTCCACACAGAGATGATGAACAATCAGAATGAGACCCAATGTCCCCTGGTGACTTCTTCTGGGAAAGGAGAAAAGGAAGGGCAGAAGGGGAGCAGTGGCCAGTCCGGGCGAGCACTGGCCAGTCTTGGGCAGCAATAGGCTGCTTGGATTCTACTTGACTCAGAGTTTCTGGGCAGCGGCCATTTGCCTAGGGAGGAGGGCAGTGTGTTTGCAGGCTGATATCCATGTGTGTGTTTGCTGTGCATTTTAAAAATTAAGTGCTCCATAAGCACAGCCATTATCACTTCCCTTGGCCATTTCCACACTGGCAGTGTGAAATATGTCATTTCTAGATGGCTAATGTTCATTTTTCTTATCTGACACAAGCTACTAACTAGGCGCACATTTAACATGAAAAGCTACAGATTTATCCACAATGGGAAATGCTAGGATCATGGTGGCAGCCAGAGAAATCACGTCTGTGGAAGGACATGTATGGGTCACTCCTTCTTTTGCAAGGTCGTTTAAATTTATGCTCCTCAAGCTTTTATGTGAACAGGAATTACCTGGGGAGCTTGTTAAAATGCAGATTCTGATTCAGTAGGTCTGAGGTGGAGCTCGAGATTCTGCTCTTTAAACAAACTTCCAGATGATACCAACGTTGCTTGTTCAAGGGCTATATTTTCAGTGGGAAGGGTCTACAGATCATCTCTCTCTCCCCAACTCTCACTTTCTGGCAAATTTATGGCAAGAGAATTATTAGTTATCGTATTAGGAAAGAGAAAAACACTACTGTTAGACAATGCTAAAACAGTTTCGGCCAGGCGCGGTGACTCGTTCCTGTAATCCCCACACTTTGGGAGGCCGAGGCAGGTGGATCCCTTGAGCCCAGGAATTTGAGACCAACCTGGGCAACATGGTGAAACCCCATCTCTACAAAAAATAAAAAAATTTAAAAAGCTATGGTGGTGTTCACCTATAGTCCCAGCTACTCAGGAGGCTGAGGCGGGAGGATTACCTGAACCCAGAAAATTGAGGCTGCTGTAACCACACCACTGCACTCCAGCCTGGGCAACAGAGTGAGACCCAGTCTCAAAAAAAAGGAAGGAAAGAAAAGAGTTTCAACCACAAATATTTATGAATAGTATACATGATTGATCCATGAAGAAATTAGCTATAAATGACCCACAAGCCAGCCAATCATGGGTCTTAAATGACAATAAATGACCATTAGGACAAGAGGCTGCAATACAATAATGGTTAAAGGTCTGCAAGCCTCTTAACTCGTTCCTGGTGATGACTTAATGATTTTCTTTGTTCTACCTGAAATACAGACTATGCACTGTAAAGGGAGTGCCTCCTCTAAAACTGCAAGACCTAAGCATGAATCTTCCTTTGAAGGAAAAATGGAAGAAAAAACACTGGATGAAGAAAAGAAGAGTGGGGAATAGAAACAGAGAGAGAGAGAAATACAGGTAAATTTTTAAAGTTGCTGTAATAAGAATTTTCTACAATGAAACCATAATCGTTGACCAGTCAGAAATGGATTGCCGAGTCAAACTTTATAAAGTTCCTATGCTCTTTTTATACTTCTAGCATTTTATTTCAGTTCCTCGTTTGCAAATCCAGTCTTATCTCCATCCACAAAGCCCACATCTCTACAGCAACAGGGTGCCCTTGAACTTGGGAGAAGGAGGGTTAGTGCTTCAGAAAAAGTTGGGGGCCTACCCAAGGTCACACTGCACAACAGACACCTTTCAAGATGGATTAGTCTGCTCCCAGCCAGGATGCGTTTCCTTGACTTAAGGCTGCAGCAAGTGTCATGCGTGGTGGTCAGTTTCATGAGCCAGCCTTGGCCCCAAACCTCCAAGATATAAATCTATTACAGCTTAGGAATTTGTGGAAAATGAGAGTAGTCGGAAGAAGGAAGTAGGTGTGTGGACAGAACACCACTACCTTTTTTTTTCTTTTTCTCTAGCAGAAAACATTTTTAAGAGACTTTTTTCTCTAGCAGAAAACACTTTTAAGAGACTTTTTTCACCCTAAGCCCCAGAAAAAGTATCAAAACTAACACATCACTTTGAGGTTTAGAATAGATCATGTCACTAGTAAGGAAATGCAAATATAGGCTTTTTCTTTTATCAATAAGAGAGGCATGCTTAACTACATCACACCCAATCTGGAAAATTCAGTGTTTGGATGTAAGTGCAGCAGCATATACCACTGACCACCATCATTACAAGCTGCTTTGCCTTCTGGATAAATATATGGTTACGACTTTCATCACTCCCCTAAGGAATGACACAGTGTGGTGACAATGACAAAGATGCACAGCTCTGAGGCCAGTCTGCCTGGATGTGAATCTTAGTTCTTCTTACTGGTTGATATAGTTTGACTGTGTCCCCACCCAAATCTCACCTGGAATTGTAATAATCCCCACGTGTCGAGGGTGGGGCCAGGTGGAGATAAGTGAAGCATGGGGTGGTTTCCCTCATAATGTTATTGTGGTAGTGAATAAGTCTCACAAGGTCTGATAGTTTTATAAAGGGGATTTCCCCTGCCCAAGCTCTCTTGCTCTCTTGTCGGCTGCCATGTAAGACATGACTTTGCTCCTCCTTCACCTTTAGCCATGACTGTGAGGACTCACCAGCCGTGTGGAACTCTGAGTCAGCTAAGCCTCTTTCTTTCATAAATTAACCAGTCTTTATTAGCAGTGTGAGAACAGACTGATACACTGGTTGAGGATCCCCAACAAATGTGAGCCCTCAGCAAATGTGAGCTAATGCTCCTCCTCCTTACCTTCTCTCTCTGAATTGCCTTCATTTTTTGGAGTTCAGCTTCTTCCGCTTCCTTCTTGATTCTTACAGATTCTTCTCTTTTTAGCTACATTATATTGAAATTACAGAGAACAAAAACCGTTACCATTTTTCAGTCTGAACTCTGGAACACAAAATTACGATGAAAGGCAAATTGCAGTATTGTTTGTGCTGTACTCACCATGATTACAGGTTGTTACTTCAAGCTACTTAGACCACAGAGACTGGCCAGGCTACGTCTTCTGCCTGTGAAATTTCTGTCTTTGTGTTTCTTCCTTGGTCTGTCTCTTTCTCAATGTTTATGTCTCTATCTGTGTGTGTGTGTGTGTGTGTGTGTGTGTGTGTGTGTGTATTGGGGAGGGAAAAGGGAAAATGATTTTTCCTGATTACAAAACTCAGTGTTCATTGTAAAAATCACCGAGTATTTTAAATCTTTTACATCATCCAAAATTGTACTGCTTCCATGACTGGCCTGTGGTAAATAAATCCACATTCTTAGAACCAAAATATTCCAGACATAATAGACTTTCAACTATAGTTAAAATATAGTTAACTTAAACTAGAAAAAGAAGTCACTTAATTGAGGGTCATGCCGAGTGAGAAAGGGCTTAGATAAGAATTGAAGGTATCCATCTCTTAACTTCTTACTTCCTGATATCTTTAATTTTGAAAGCTGCCTTTTGCAATTGGTTGGAAGGTTTCATGCTTTTGGTAAAGTTACTGTGCTATTTCACCGTTACTTGAAAGAGCTGGTACTCATATTCCTTACCAAAATTAAACCAAAAGAGATGAATTCTGACCTTTTGCTGGTACTTAGATTGCATCAGCTGGAGTTGTTGTTTCTGTCTGACTTCAGTTTCTGACCGGCTTCCACCTTAGGAAACAAAAGTTCACATAGGTGAAACATAAATATTAAGCTGAAATACCGGCCATCAAGGACTGATTAATACACGATCAATTTATAACCTGAGTTTTGTTAATATTCTCATGATCATAACCGTTTTGCTAATAAGACCTTAAATAAGGGGAATACTTAGAAGAGAGAGCTGGATGGAAAGAGGAGGCCATATTTTTAAAACAAAAGAACACCCCTAAGGTTTTTCAATCATGTAGGTATTCAACTTTTCACTTGGATTGAAATCACACCTAAAGGTCTGCACTGAACAGAAGAAACAGTGCATGTCTAGGAAACGGTAGAATATCCCTCCCTCTTGATTATGACCATGACTGAGCCTAATAACGATGGTGACCAAAGGTGCTTCTATTGCTTTTCGTCTTCTAACTCTATTGCCTTGCGTTCTAGCATCAAGGCTCAGGAAGCTCTCGGGGGTCTTGCCACTAGACAAGTGTTTGGTCTTTATAACTCAGGTTCTAAAAATACACTGGGAACAGTCTAGGTAGTAACTGATCATCAACCATGCTGTTTATTGTTCTTTATATAGTCAAACTAAAAATATGGATGTTAAATTATTTACTTGCTCTCTTTTATATATACATATTTTTAAAATCAGATAGTAAACTGATAAGAACAGATACTAGAGCTTAGCCAAAAGGCCGAGAAGCAATATTGCTCTCTCTTATACCTAAAAGGATTTGGGGCCAGAAATCCTGGCAGCTTGACGATCATCTAAGAATTGCCCTTTAGGGAATTCTCAGTGTTTCTGCAAGCTTGGTGTGCATATTAGAAAGGTTCCTTTGAAATAATTCTCTGGTGCTTTGGTCACTAAAAGTGTCAGCTTTCTGAAAGATTCCCTCTCACAGAAGATGCATTAAAACAATTTGTGTTCACTATAGATCTTATAATTGAACCGAGAAAGATACCATAGGGACTTTTTTTCTGAGATTCAAAAGATATATAAGGGCTGTTTGATGTGGGCCCTTCGATTGCTATTGTGGGGGGTGGGGAATGTTTCTTTCAAAACAGTGGGGAATGTTGACGCTTTTCATAATGTTATAGCAACTTTTAGCATCTCCTGCAACAAGTCCAATATTTAAGGGGTTGAGAAACAGAGGAGTTGAAAATTAGAAGAAATGTAGAGAGCCAGATGCCTAAACATTTACAAGTTTTGTTCAAAACTCATCTCAAAGTTTAATACAATTTAGAATTTTCTTTTCTACCCCCAAGCCCCTCCCCCCCACACACCTTACTATCCCTAGATAGCGCATGTAACAGGAAGTTGAAATAAGAATTCTGGTCACTTCTACTGTTGGAGAAAAACCAAAAGCTTTAATGTTTTACATCATCCAAAAAGCCTGGGAAATACTGGTCTCACATAGCCAGTCTCAGGACCAGGTTAGAAGAGACTCAAGCTGTTTTCTGATTGTACCCTTCAAGTCTGGCTCATTTGCACCAGAAAACACTTGAGATAAACCCTGTTAATGAAATACAGTGGGATGATGACCATATCACTATTACTTCCTCTCTTTAAGTAATTTCCAAATTAGATTATTTTTACCTATGTTCTTGGGGCTGGGGAGTAACTCTAAAACAATCACAACAGTAAGTGGCCCCTGACACAAGACATGCTTCTATTAACTGAATCTGTGGACACTGTGTGTCCAACCCTTTAAATTCTCGGCTGCTGCTAGAAGAAAAAAGGCAAAGAAAAGATGTGAATGATTCCCATTAGGTGGCATCCCCTGTGAATGATTCAAACACCAGCAAAGGCAGCCCAGACAATTCATCACACTGGCAGCACCTGCTCCAGAGGCCCAGAGGTCTCTATCTGTAGAATAAAAACACAGGTGATGTTTCTCTCCCACCCACCGCCGGGTCTCCAGCTCACTCTCATCTTGCTCTTGGAACTGACTCTCCACTCCTTTTCTTCACATTAGCATTTAAGTGCCGTGATTAATATGCTTGTGCTAGCATTGACTCCCATCCTGACCAGTGCTATGCCAGGGGCATACGCAGCGCCCCAGGTGAGCTTTCTTCAGAGTCAGTCATCTAAGAGCCTCTAAATTATTTGGCAATTAAGCCGTCACTTTGTTCCCATAGAACGGTGGCATTACAGGTTTGCTACTTACAGAAAATCAGAAATATATATATCTTCATTAAATGCATTCCACCCAAGCAGCACAATGACCCAACAATCTGCAATGGACACTCACGGACAGACATATGCAAGCTGTTAAGAGGATCACCATAGCGGCCCCGCCCTCCCGCATTCGGGCAGCGCGCTTGCTTACCTAGCCGCCTGGGCGCCAGGTGAACTGCTTTAGCTCTGTTCTGCTCCTTCCATTTCTCTAGGTCGGCCAGCTCCTGGTCCGCAACTAAGCAGGTGGGAAATATCAAATCATCAATTACTAGACTTCTGAAAGAAAAACAGTCCCTCGAAGCATAAGAAACAACAATTAGAAGGCAATTAAACAACAATTAGAAGGCAATCCATGTTCACAACATGGGCGCAAGACTGAACAAGGCTTCCAGGACAGGAACACAATATTCGGCCCTGATGCCTATGGGTCACCCTGGGCCTGTGGCACATTCTCACCAAGAGTCAGCACAGAGGGTTCAAATTTTGAAAAACCACCTGGGCTCCTATTAAAACAAAGTATAGATTTTCCTACCACTCTGGCATTCTTAAAACTCTGTATCAAGTTAATTTTTAAAGTTTCCTATAGACAATGTGTGCACAACTAGAATATTTTCATGTTAAGAATTTTCCGCACACAGGTAAACATATTCCAGAGAATTCTGATACCCATACTCGCTTTATGTTCAATGCTCCCCAGGCTTACTGCCACTCTAGGGAGTGAGGGCTCGGTGCCACCTGTGGGGACCCTCGCTCTGGTTTCCGGCACTCCAGACCAAGTGTGCAGAGTGGGCTTCCTGGGGTGCCGGGCTCATTTCCTAAATGTTCACTCTGCACGACAGCAGGGGGCGCCAGAGAGAAAACAGTTTAGTCAATCCACTGCCTCCCCTTACCTCCCCGTGAGATTCTGTTTCAAATGTGCATTAGAAAAACAAATTCTGAAACATTTCAGAATCCACACCACACTGAGACTTAAGCTCCTATTAAGTATTTAAATAAAAAGCTTGTAAGATACCAGAACGGCTGGCAGTTCCCACAGTCCCTGCATGGCGGTGATTGTCATCTTCTGCCCTGACCCACTATACCTCCCGGGACTTCATGTCTGGTGGGGACTCTTTAGAGAGCTTTTGTGCCTTTCTGTCCATCATTAGTCATAAAGTTAAATTTCCTACCAATCATCTAATAAAGGAGACCATCGAAGTTCAGCATCAAGCCTGCAGTTTCTTCGTGAACTAGATGAACTTTAGTTATCTTCTTCCACCTCTAAAGGATAATGCTATAACTTTAAATGGCAGCATTTATATTTGCTGTACATTGATTAAACATTAAACATACAGAGAGCACAAAAACGAATAAGATGTGATCCCGGCCCTCAGGGAGGTTCTTGGCAATAAGTGTAAAGTTGTTCAAGCCAGCAGAAGTCCACGAGCTACCATCATGTCGTGAGTTCTGTTACTAATGTAGAGAAACAATCTTAGCAGTGTTAATAGAGTATTTTTAAGGTATAATCAAAACTGCTGATGTTTAACAACAATAAAAAACCCCTGATGAGATTTGGTGAGTGTATATAAATCAGAAAATACTTCACACCAAAACAAACCAATTGTAAAGAGAGAGAGAGAGGGCTGGGCATTGTGGCTCATGTCTGCAATCCCAGCGCTTTGGGAGGCCAAGGTGGGTTATCACCTGAGGTCAGGAGTTCAAGACTAGCCTGACCAACATAGTGAAACCCTGTCTCTTTAAAAAAAAAAAAAGAAGAAGAAGAAAAAAGAAAGAAAAAAAGAGAGCAAGAGAAGAATTCCGAATGTTAAATGAATGACATACGTACTTCTTTGTATCTGATTTCTTCGGTTTACATTTGGTGCTATCAAGGTATATGCACTCGTTCTAAAAGGAAGAGAAAAACAGTTGCTCATCACCGTGAGAAACTACCAATGTATATAAGCCGCCAAATCATTTTCCTCCTATGATACTGTATTCGTGATAATCACCGTCACGTTCGCACTATGAAAGATAATTGGAAGACCCTGACCTGTCCTCTGCGACCTCACAATCTTGATGTGAAAGCAAACAAGGGACATGGGCAAATAGGGAAATATAAAGCAATGGATGAAGAGCGACAAGTGACTAGCTGGTACACTGTCCTCGCAGGGCCCACTGTTCCTCTACATGATGCTTCTGAGTAAATCCCTTTAACATTGGTTTGCATTGGCGTTCTCTTCCATGTAACCACACTGGGGTACAGGAAACATGAGTGCATTTTTGTTCCCATAGACTGAGCCTCAAGGCCATGTGCAATGCAGCCACCTCCTCTTGATGATCTGAGTAGCCAAATGGCTTTTAGGCTTTGGCCTTTCTAGGCCTCTGTCCACTGGGTCTCTCTTTTTTTTTGAAACGGAGTTTCATTCTTGTTACCCAGGCTGGAGTGCAATGGTGCGATCTCGGCTCACCGCAACCTCTGCCTCCTGGGTTCAGGCAATTCTCCTGCCTCAGCCTCCTGAGTAGCTGGGATTACAGGCGTGCACCACCGTGCCCAGCTAATTTTTTGTATTTTTAGTACAGACAGGGTTTCACCATGTTGACCGGGATGGGCTCGATCTCTTGACCTCGTGATCCACCTGCCTCGGCCTCCCAAAGTGCTGGGATTACAGGCTTGAGCCACTGTGCCCAGCTCCACTGGGTCTCTTATTCTCCTAGGGACACAGGTTGAACATAATCAGGGGCTCGGAGAAGCAAGCCGTCATTTCAAACAGGGGGATCAGGGAAGACTTTATTTAAACAAAAATATTCAACTCTGTGACACTAGGAAGCTGTTAAAATATTGTGAGCTTTTGAGGGCAGAGTGTGTGCTTGATGATGTATATTCCGAATCCCTGGCACATGTCTGGCACAAAGACACTGGCTGCTTGATAAATGTGGGCTGCATTAAGGAAAACGATGCTGCAGACCCAGTCTGTGAGTGTGTGTTGGGAGGGCTCATGTTTGAGACGAGGCGTGTAATCCCACAAGAGCATGAAGACTCCGTTAAGCAAAAACAGAACCCAGCAACAGACTGCAGCGTACATGCAGGTACAGTTTTAAGAGAAATGCTGTGGATAAACACAACCAACTTATACCTGTAGGATTTAAGAGGGGGGAAATAACCACCCAGATACTCTTCGAAGTCTTTCTCTTTTACCTGAATGTACAATTTCAAAGGGCAGATTAGCAAAGATTGAACAGTAGAGGCCAAAAGCACTGCTTAACAGAAGGCATTTCCTTCCTTATCGCATTATTTTTCTAGCAGCTAGCCTTCAGCCAGCTTCAAACTGGGCTTTAATTTTAGACTTGGAAATGTGAGGCACGCAACAGCCTTTGCATGCAAATGGGGCTGCTGGATGCCCAATTACCTAATGTATATCAGCAGACATTGCATGTGTAGCCTAGCATGCATACAACGCTATGAATACAAAATTAGGAGGCTGCCACTGGAAATTATCCCTTGTCCATTGCATGCTCTTTGTTCACCCTAAGAAAAAATGTTCACTCCTGCATTGCCAGTACTTTATAGGAGCTTGGAAGCTGCAATCCCATGAGTAGTCCCTGGAAACTTGAATATAATGCAACGGTGAACGATTCTACAGAGACTGAAAGCTGAAACATGAGATACAGATTTAAATGACAATCATGGAATTGCTAGGCAATCTTCAATGTCTGCTAGCATTGTGGTATAGAGCTTCTCTCTACACCACAAACTTGACTGTACTTCAGAGATCAGTCGTTCTCAGCATCATAATCCCCAGAGGGCTTGTCCACCAGCTTGTTAAAAAGCAGAGTTTCTAATTCTGTAGCTCTGTGATGGGATCCAATAACTTACTTTTTCTTTTTTTTTTTTTTTTTTTTTTTGAGACGGAGTTTCACTCTTGTTGCCCAGGCTGGAGTGCAATGGCGCGATCTCGGCTCACCGCAACCTCCACCTCCTGGGTTCAGGCAATTCTCCTGCCTCAGCCTCCTGAGTAGTTGGGATTACAGGCACGCACCACCATGCCCAGCTAATTTTTTGTATTTTTAGTAGAGATGGGGTTTCCCCATGTTGACCAGGATGGTCTCAATCTCTTTGACCTCGTGATCCACCCGCCTCGGCCTCCCAAAGTGCTGGGATTACAGGCGTGATCCACTGCTCCCGGCATAACTTAAATTTTTAACAAGTTTCCAGATGATCCTGATGTTCTTGATCTAGGCATCACACTTGGAAAACCACGGCTATAGAACAATCAAGCTATCTTAGAACATTTGGGCTAAAAGGAAACGTAGGGATTCCTAAACCATCGGTAAAGACACAGAGGTTGAATCTCAGGCCAAAGATCACCAGGTCAATTGAGCAATAGTGAGGAGACTCCCATCTAGGACTTCTGACGTAGGTCAGTTATCTGTCTGCAGCTAACCTTTCAACTCAACGTGCAGAGCACAAAACATGACCATCCTTTACTTCTGCCCCCAACAGACTTCCAAACAATGCAAGCTACCTGACTGAACACTTACAATGGACTTCTTCTATCAGGGGCTTACAGGCAGTGGGAGAGTCCGGAAGGTGGACGCTAATCACTTTAACAGAACTTACACTTGAGTTAGGAACAAGTCGAGAAAGCACCAAAGCATCCCACAAGAATATCCGACTACTCAACATGAGTTCTGGTTGGGGGGAGAAACAAGAAAAAAGAATATCCGCACAAGTCTTAAAGTGGGACGAGGTACTCACATCCCACTCTAAGACTTGTGCGGATCCAAAACAGTGGAGATTCAGAGAGACCTCAGAGGAGTGGAAAACTGAATAGCATGAAATAAGAATAGCAAGTCGAAGCTTAAAGAATAGGGTCTGAAATCGCAGAAGTGCTTCTTTGCCAGGATTTTGCCAAAAGCAGCTTCACAGACAATTTTCCAAGTCCGTGACTGTCTCTTACAGAGATTTTGCAAAAGGTTTGGAAAGTAAAATCAATCTGTAAAAGATTGTATTCTACAGATCTAATCTGGTAAGTTTTTAATTCTGACATCATACTAGAATCTTCCGTCTTAGGAATAGGATTTCAGTCAATCTACGGCCAATGTGTGTAGCCTACAGGTACCTAATAAAGAAACGTAAAATAAAGAGAAAGAATTAGCTCTGAAGTTAGAGGTTTTTACTGAAGGCATTTTAGCATAAATCCAGGCAGTGGTCCCAGGAATAAACATTTTATGTAAGTGAATTCCTTGGCAACCTTCTTAGCAATATTTTATTGGCTGAAAATGCCAAATCTAAAACATGTTGTATTAGTCACAAGAAAGCATTGCCAAGTAAATGGCAAGTAACTTAGCTTCTGTTTCTATTACTATAGGAAGAAGAGCCTAAGTCAAAGGATATGCCTTTTCTTTTTTAATATCATGTGTCAGAGTGTAATGCCTTAGTAGATACAAATGTTCATCCCTTCTTTCTCCTGACATGAATAGCAAGTATAATTTATTAATGTTTTCAGCCAATTAGTTTCCACCCACAGCAAAGGCTTTGCTATTTTAACCTATGTGCCATCCCTTTCAACAGTCTGACTCTCAAAGCTGCTGATCTAGACAAACCCAACACCAGCATTTGGTATTCTTGTCATTTCCTGATTAAGCAACATTCAAGCCACTGAAATAAATGTATATATTTGAAAATGAGTGTCCTTAATGACCTCATTGAAATTTAATGAAATATCTCAATTTGTAAGATTGTTTTCACTTTCTCAACAGCACACATCCATGAGATATACTAAGGGAGAATATATGAAAGAATAGATTAGACAAAATGTTTTTCTGCACCATAAGAAACGTAAAATAAAAAGATATTCAAGAAATGTTTGGCTGGGCACGGTGGCTCACACCTGTCATCTCAGCACTTTGGGAGGCCAAGGCAGGTGGATCACTTGAGGTCAGGAGTTCAAGACCAGCATGGCCAACATGGTGAAACCCTGTCTTTACTAAAAATACAAAAATTAGCCGGGTGTGATGGTGCACACCTGTAATCCCAGGTTCTTGGGAGGCTGAAGTAGGAGAACTGCTTAAACCCAGGAGGCAGAGGTTGCAGTGAGCCAAGATCGTACCACTGCACTTCAGCCTAGCCAGTAAGAGCAAAACTCCATCTCAAAAATAAAATAAAATAAAATGTTTTCCTTGTGAGGTCTCTTGAGTTACACCACTGCATCTTGTGTGTATATTCTTGCACAATTTGTATAACTTTTTCTCAATAAGCACTCTGAAAAAATGTTATGTTGAAGTTATCAAAAATATCTTGGCTGGCTAAAGGATTACATAAATATATCCCCTGGTGTGTACAAACTGCACCAGATGTAATTTAAATTTCTAATTAGAAACAACACTAGTTTGACTGAAAAAGAAATGTAGTCAAGAGCAAAAATTCAGAAAGAGAAGATTAAGTGAAAAACATCATTTCAAACAGAATAGTAGACACGTAAAGTCTACAGTCCTGCAAAAACCTGGTTTGAAGTTTTCATAGTTCAGGTAAATCTTATTCTTGGGTAGACAGAAATTGAAAAAGATTTGGGGATATGCAAAGGCATCTGGTACTTATTATTACTATTATTATTATTTTTATTTTTTGAGACGGAGTTTCGCTCTTGTTACCCAGGCTGGAGTGCAATGGCGCGATCTCGGCTCACCGCAACCTCCGCCTCCTGGGTTCAGGCAATTCTCCCGCCTCAGCCTCCTGAGTAGCTGGGATTACAGGCACGCGCCACCATGCCCAGCTAATTTTTTGTATTTTTAGTAGAGACGGGGTTTCACCATGTTGACCAGGATGGTCTCGATCTCTTGACCTCGTGATCCACCCAAAGTGCTGGGATTACAGGCGTGAGCCACCGCACCCAGCTGGATACTTATTTTTCTAGATACGACATTCCATATTGTTTTTTGTTACACGACCTTCAATGTAGGAATCTGAAACTTACTGTTTTCGGTCAACACTGAGTCAGATCTTCTGAGGCATTTAAGTTTCCAAAAGTTTTTTCATAAATAGATCAAATTCCCAAGAAAAAATAAAAATGACAAGATCAGGCTGAGTGAATTGCCCTTGACCCTTAAGCCTATATCATAGCACCCTGATCAAGTGTTCCGCATCTCCAGTATGGAAATGTTTATGAATTATCTGGGCCTCAGAAACTACAAAGCTTAAGACACTATATCTGCACATCCAAGATGCTGATGTGTATTTGATCACTTCTTTTATCAACATAACTCACGGCTTCTGTTAGAGGGCTGAATAAACACACACCGGGTAAAGACAGATAAATAAGCAGGAAATCATCATGCCTTCGTTTATAGGACGCCTTTATGGAAACTAAAGTTACACATACACACCCAGGATCCCCATGGCTTAGTGAGACATTGTAAATTCATGCAAATTAGAAAAAAAGGGCTGCTTCTTTCAGGTGGCGGTAATCCCACACTAAGACACATGGTTTGGTATGTATCTCAGCCGCAGATGACACCTTAGCTGGGCAAGTATGTGTAGTCACCAATCTGCACAGCCATATAGAATGGACCTGAGATGATGTATTTCTTCACTTAAACACATACACATTAACAAAAACCACACAAAAAAGTTAGCAACGAGGAGTCACACTAACAATACAAAGAATGTATATGAAGTACAATACTCTAGAGATTCAGCATCTTTAAGAGTTCAAAAAGCAATGATGGGACCATCACGGAAATGGAGATCAGCTGGTAGGTATACTTACAAAATGTCTTGTAACTACTTCCTCAGTAAACGTAACTAGAAGAAATGCATATTTTCAGAACATAGAGATGTCAGGTCTGGGATTTGATTGGATTCCACTCAGGAGCTAATAAGTTAGCCTGTCACTGTTTCATGGACACTGGAAGAAGACATGAAATTCCTGGATCAGAGACAAAGGACTTGATGACTCATGGCACCGTAGGCAGCATGAGCATCAGTTTATTTACATCTATTCTCTCTGGCCTCAAGTCTTATGGGGGCAACAGGATAGATGCTACACACATGGTGTGTCTGCACTGCAGCTGAGAAAATGCTTGGGGAATGCACCATTTTTACAGCAGATACTTAGTGAGACCAGTCTTTGCCCTGGGGAGAACAAACCTCATCTCTCAAGGTTCCCAGCTAAATAAACAACTCTAAGAAATAGATTAAAGAGTAGTCTTGGCACATCCAACAAAACATGAGTACCAGAGGCCCTAGGGAGACACTCTCTTTTCCAGCAAGAGAATATTTAGTATTAACATTCCTATTAAGAATGACTTAATAAAGAAATTGGTATTTGCATAAAACCACCTCCTTATGAAATGTGCTATATATTTTCTCTTCATATTATTATTAGTAGTAGGCTTAGAGCTGATTATGTCCATGTCTCAAGCATTACTCCTCAAGATTATCTACAACTTAAAGAGAAAAACCGGCAATGCAAGACATAATGATGTACTCCAAAATCTGTGCATGGAACATTTAGAAATGAAATTTATTGTTTCTTTCTGATTTTGAAAGAAACACACTTGTAAAAGAAAATTCAGAAAACTATTTTTAAAACACGTAAAAGTCACACATAATCCTGCCCCTCAAAGATCACAATTACAATTTTATTTGGATACTGAGAAAATGCTTGGGGAATGCACCATTTTTACAGCAGATACTTAGTGAGACCAGTCTTTGCCCTGGGGAGAACAAACCCATACTTTTCATCTATGTTCTATACATACTACACAGTTGCAATCATATTTTAAGTACAATTGTATATTCTGCTTTCATTTACAAGTGGTTTCCTAATTTGACTATATATGTAACATGCTTGATGCTCAATGGCTGCATAGTATTTCATGACATTGGTGCATCATACAACCACTCAGCTGTTTTAATTATTCACTATTATAAACAATCCTGCCGGATGTACAAAGCATACCGCTTTCAACAGAACGTTATCCAGAAGAAAACGCGAACAGTCCTCTGAAATCAATACTCTGAACAGGAATGTGGGCTACATTTAAATTTTTCTTCCTTAGATAGCCTACTTACATTTCAAAAATTTCAGAGAGAACATAATCATGTGATTAATTTCCACTCTTATGCTTGACTCCCTATTGTTTTAATTAATTAATTAATTTTTTTTTTTTTGAGATGGAGTCTCACTCAGTCACCAGGCTAGAGTGCAATGGCGCAACCTCAGCTCACTGCATCCTCCGCCTCCCAGGTTCAAGCAATTATCCTGCCTCAGCTGCCTGAGTAGCTGGGATTACAGGTGCACACCACTGCGCCTGGCTAATTTTTGTACTCTTTTAGTAGAGATGGGGTTTCACCACCTTGGCTAGGCTGGTCTCGAACTCCTGACCTCGTGATCCACCCACCTCGGCCTCCCAAAGTGCTGGGATTACAGGTGTGAGCCACCGCGCCCGGCCGACTCCCTTTATTCTTAAGCTAGAAGCGATGTAGTAGGTCCTACCTACTACCTTCTCTCACTTCTGCCTTACTGATAGCACTTCTATATCATTCAGATAGACAATGTGCTCAGTGCAAAGGCTAGAGCCACCAACCCTCTGTATAGGTAGGTATAATTATGTGATTAAGTTTGAGAAATTGAGATATCAGTGGAAGTCATTGAGAGGGATTTCTAGAAGTCTCCTTTAAATGGTGATAGACAAATAGAAAAAGCTCTTTTGTTATTTTCCTTCTTCCTGGAAGGTTGAAATGGTAGCTGGTCCTCGGGCAGCCATCTTAATCAGTGAGGCACCCTGAATATGGAAGCCATGATCAGGAACAGCAGAGCAGAAAGACAGAAGCAGTCCGGTGCTCTGTGACCGTGAAACCACATTGGTGGTAATCTATCGCTGTGCTGCCCGACTTCAAACCCCAATTCTGTTATTTCCTAACCGTACAACTTTGAGCCAATTATTTAGTTTTTTTCATTTTTCCACCTGTAAAATAGGGATAACTATCCACTTCATGGAATATAAAGTGCTGTGAACCCCGAAGAGCTGAAACAGGTCTCAGTTAATTTAGAAAGTTTATTTGGCCAAGGTTGAGGATGCGCCAATGACACAGCTTCAGGAGGTCCTGATAACGTGTGCCCAAGGTGGTCAGAGTACAGTTTGGTTTTATGCATGGTAGGGAGACATGAGACATCAAACAACATACGTAAGATGAGCATTGGTTTGGTCCAGAAAGGTGGGACAACTGGAAGCAAAGGTGAGACAACTGGAAGCCAGGAGGTGGCTTTCAGGTCATAGATAGGTTAGAGATAAATGGTTGTGTTCCTTGAGTTTCTGATTAGCCTCTCCAAAGGAGGCACCCAGACGTACATTTATCTCAGCGAGCAGAGGCGTGACTTTGAACAGAATGGAAGGCAAGTTTGCCCCCAGCAGTTCCCAGCTTGACCTTTCCCTTCAGCTTAGTGATGTGGAGACCCCAAGATTTCTTTTTCATTTCTCAGTGCTTAGAACAATGCCAGAAAATGTTCCATTATAGTTTCCCATTATTTGTACTAGATCAGCCCTAGACTACCTACCTTCAGACTTATTTTATGGGAGTGAAATAAACAGTCATAGATACTTGCTTAAGATACCTAGCGGGGCCGGGCGCGGTGGCTCAAGCCTGTAATCCCAGTACTTTGGGAGGCCGAGGTGGGTGGATCACGAGGTCAAGAGATCGAGACCATCCTGGTCAACATGGTGAAACCCCGTCTCTACTAAAAATACAAAAATTAGCTGGGCATGGTGGCGCGTGCCTGTAATCCCAGCTACTCAGGAGGCTGAGGCAGGAGAATTGCCTGAACCCAGGAGGCGGAGGTTGCGGTAAGCCGAGATCGTGCCATTGCACTCCAGCCTGGGTAACAAGAGCGAAATTCCATCTCAAAAAAAAAAAAAAAAAAAAAGATACCTAGGGGGACATCTATTTTATTGTATGTAATTATAATAACTATATATAATATATATGACATCTATTTTATGTGTAATAGAACCTGAATCACTAGTACACCTCCTTTATTCATTCTGTGACTGATTCCCTTTGCTGCTGCTTCTTTCATAAATATACATCAAGTTTTTTCTAATTATTTCTTTATATCCCTGTTTCTGACTCTTTCTTTTAACATCTATATCCTGGTTCCTGATTCTTTCCTTTGAATAATAAGGACCACTGCATGAAACAAAGTAGTATTTATAAATAATATATCTTAAAGATTGGTACATATTTTTCCCCTGTAAATGGTAGTATGATTCTGAGCCCAGGCTTTTTTAATTAAATTATTTATTAAAGTATAATGTACCTACAGAAAACAACACAAATTTTAAGCCTACAGCTTATTTCTTTTCTTATTTTTATTCAGTCTGAGTAGAGACTGTCAAAAGCTGCCAGTGCCAACTATATTGCCAGTCGCCACAGCAGAGCACTGGGAAACGTTTTCAATGAGCAATGATCATGCCTCGAACAAACCTCATTGGCCACGATCGTGCCACTGCGCAAAGCTGGTATACAGCTTCGTAACAAAAGTTATTTTACTTCAGGTCCCCAAAGAGAAAAGGAAAAAAATAAGAAGAGGCACAATGAGTTTTATAATATCATCTAAAATTACATTTCCCCCAATGTTTTAAGAAATTTTAAGCCTAACAAGCAAAGTTAAATATTAGTAAAATAAATACATATATACTATTTATTTATATTTACCAGTTATTAATGTTTTCCCACATTTGCTTTTTCTCTTTTTTAACTATATGAAATTAAGCTGCAGGGTCATAACACATCATCCCTAAATATTTTAGCATGTATCTCCTAAAAAAAAGTCTCATACTTACACATAATAACAGTATCACAGCCAATAAATTTAACATTAATATTGCCTAAAGTCTATATTCAAATCTCCAAATTGTTTCCATTTACTATTCTTCCCTGCCTTTACCTCATCCTAGATCCAATCATGGATTACACATTTCTGTCATTTGACATGTGGCTGTAGGCTATAACCTCAGACAATTTCCTTGACTTTTTCTTTCTTTCATGGTTGACATATTTGAAGAGTTGAGGTAGCTTTTCTTATAGAATCTGGATATAAGGAAATGATGATTTCCTCACAGTTAGACTAGGCTAAACATTTTTAGAAAGAGTACTACGTAGGAGAGGTCATCCAACATGCCACTGTGAGAACAAGGGTTGTTTTCTTGTACAACTAAATAAGCCAATGTGAAAAATGTTGTCTGTATGATGGAGTGCCATCACAGTATAAAACAAAGATTAGAAAAAGAGTGTCTGTCACCTTAGGTTGGCAATAGAAATCAAAGGGCATTGTACTAGTCCATTCTCATGCTGCTGATAAAGACATACCCGAGACTCGGTGATTTATAAAGAAAACGAGGTTTAGTGGACTCACAGTTCCATATGGCTGGGAGGTCTCATAATCATTCAGAAGGTGAAGGAGGAGAAAAAGCGCGACGTCTTATATGGCAGCAGGCAAGAGAGCATGTGCACAGGACCTGCCCTTTATAAACCATCAGGTCTCTTGGAACTTATTCACTGTCATGAGAACAGCACAGGAAAACACCATCCCTGCAATTCAATAACCTCCCATGGGTCCCTCCTACCATACGTGGAGATTATGGGAGCTACAATTCAAGATGAGACTCAGGTGGGAACACAGCCAAACCATATCAGGCATCATGGCCCTAGGGTTTTCCACTTGGCATCAAGAGTCAAAAAGTGCAACCTATACTTTAAAGGTTTCTTTTACACTAAATTCTTTGCAGTGTTTATTTCTAAGGGTCAGAATTGCAGGGGATTTTCACATTCTGTATTATTTTTGTAATGTTTCAGTTTTTATAACAAGCAGATATGACTTGACTTTTATAATCAGAGAAACATATTCCAAATACTTTTAATAGAGAAATATTTAATATAAAGATTTCTTAAAGCAGGGTCTCAGCTTTTCTTTTCTTTCTTCTTCTTTTTTTTTTTTTAAAGACGGGGTTTCACCATGTTGGTCAGGCTGATCTTGAACTCCTGACCTCAAGTGATCCACCCGCCTTGGCCTCCAAAGTGCTTGCCTTACAGGCGTGAGCCACCACCCCCAGCCAGGGTCTCAGCTTTTCTTACAAGATGAAATAGCATAGGTTTCTGCCCTCACTAGTACATAGTAAAACACTGGGCAATGCAAGCCCTTGAGTTTTAATGACGGTTAATATCTTCAGTTTTTCTACAGAACTTTAATGGATCGCCTTTTAAGTCTTCATATTTGCAGGGGGTGGGGGACAAGGAATTACAGATATTACAGAACAGAGAAACCATCATCAGCCGATTCTCTGATATAGGACAGACCCTTCAAACGCAGTCTTCTCCCTTTGATTATTTCCGTTCCTCTAAAGCTTTTGTTTCAGATTCAAATACATTCTGAATAGATGCAATTAACCTTCATATGTATAACCTTACAGCACTCTACTGACTTTGAAGTAAGTCACCTTACTGTGTAATTGACTAAGTTTCTTTTTTTCTCATTTCTGCTGTGGTTCTACTGATTATTATGGGGATTATGTGTTTTCAAGCTTTCATCATCCTGTTGATTTATTGTTTCACTGTTACAGCTGTCAGACTCTTTGAGCAATTCCCACCCATTTTTGATGATATTGTATTTGAACAAAAACGATTGCTCCCCAAGACTTGGCAGACCACAAACGTATACCATACTGGGGAATGGAATCCGGTGCAGAAAAGTTGGAAACTCCTTCTAAGCAGGACCATAATTTCTGCCCTCCTGCACAAACAGGAAGGTACATTTGATCTAATCAACCAAAATGCTTTTTCTTTTCATCTACTCTAACAATCTCTTCTGCCATGCATAGAACCGTGCTTTTCCAGCTGTAGGAGGCAACCCTCTAATGGGTTATAAAATCAATTCAATGGATTTATTTTTAATGCAGAAGAATAGAAATATATATAATATTATATAATGCACATATAATCAAGTGGAAATTGTTTTGTGAAATTTTTTCAGTTATATATACCCTAATGTATACTCAGACATGTACTAGGTCATGAAGTCAAATGAATCGCTCGCTGTCGGCTATGATCAGAAGTCTGAAAAAAATCCCCAGAACTTACTATGCTGCTGAGGTTGCACAGTGACAGTGCGATAACTGCTCTAATGTCAGAGGCATTTGAATCAGAGTGACTCCATCTTGAATATGGGCTGGGTAAAATCAGACTGAGACCTACTGGGCTGCATTCCCAGATGGTTAAGGCATTCTAAGTCACAGGATGAGATAGGAGGTCAGCACAAGGTACAGGTCATAAAGACCTTGCTGATTAAACAGGTTTCAGTAAAGAAGGTGGCTAAAATCCACCAAAACCAAGATGGCCACGAGAGTGACCTCTGGTCGTCCTCACTGCTACACTCTCACCAGCACCATGACAGTTTACACATGCCATAGCAACATCAGAAAGTTACCCTATATGATCTAAAGAGGGGAAGCATGAATAATCCACCTCTTGTTTAGCAGAAAATTTAAAGAACCATAAAAATGAGCAACCAGCAGGCCTCGGGGCTGCTCTGTCTATGGAGTAGCCATTCTCTATTCCTTTACTTTATTAATAAACTTGCTTTCACTTTATAGACTTGCCTTGAATTCTTTCTTGTGTGACATCCAAGAACCTTCTCTTGGGGTCTAGACCAGGGCCGCTTGCTGATAACACTAACATAAGGATACCAAGCTCACCATCATTTGTGAAAAGCAGCAAAACAAAGGGAACCCACACAGAAAATTTGCTCCTGCAAACCACTTCTCTGTTGAAATCATTTTAAAGCTATGATGGGGTTCCGCACATGTTATCCCAAAATACGCACCTTGGCATTTGAGAAAACAGCAGAAGCAGGAAGTCCTCTCTGACCTTTTCCTGCCTTCCTCCCCTGAAGCAAGCCATAAAAATTTCTCTGACCTTCCTCTAAGACAGGTCATAAGACTCATCAGAGGAATCCTCGCTCCTCCCTCTACCCAGAGGAAAGGAAGAGAGACAGAGAGATGCAAAGAATTTGCAAAAACAGGCCTTGCTAAGCTTCCCTAGTTCATCATCTTTAGACCATGCTCCTTTTTAATCAATCTCATTTCTCTGCAACTATCCACTCCTCATCAAACTTAAGCATAAAGACATTTTCCCCTGGTTCTTTGGGTGTTCATTTTTGAGCACTCCTTAATCCTATAAAACTTACGTTAAATGAATGGGTTTGCTTTTTTCTTGTTAATCTATCTTTTGTTATAGGGATATCAGCCGTGAACCTAGGGATAGGTAAGGAAAGAAACCTCCGCGCTCTCTGCAGCTGTAAATGTCACATTACTGCCTCTCTGTTACCACTCTCTTTAGCCTACAGAATTCCTCTTTCCTTAGTGTTGTTATAAAACAATGACAGGACCTTCGCTAGCTGCACTGTCACTCCTCCTATCTATCCTCCATCTAGGCATCATATTCAAGATCCAGAATTTGGTAGACAGACACAGGCTTGAATACTGGTTTTGTCACTCAAAAAGCCACGAGATCTTGGAAAATCATTTAAATTTTCAAGACACAGTTTCCTCATCTTTAACATAGCAAATGACGTATCATGAAGAGAATATTCCATAATGTACCTGACATATTTACCACAAGATCTAGCACATGGTGAATCATTGAAAACACATGAGCTGTTATTTGGTTTTAGTCTCTCAGGGGAACCCAGTTTAATTATCCCAGGTCATAACTGATTTACTTTATGCTACAAGATTGTAATGCTTCATTGTATTTCTCATTTCAAAAATAAGTCAAATAGTATTAGTATCTGGTAATAATTGAGACATCTACCCATCTCATTGAGACATGTCATTAGTAAGAGTTAAATACTATCTGTTGCTGTATAAACTTTCTGCACACTAGGGATTGACTTAAATAATCCCCTAATGAACAACCATCTATACTGAGCCATTGAGAAGGTTACTCATTACAATCAACCACAGATACTCTCTTCCGATGCACTATTATTTCATAACATTAAGGGAACTCCGGCATGATTCAATTATCCCTCTCCAGGGATGCGCAGTAACTGACACATGCAGGCCCCTTAGCATCTGTAGGCAGAATTTTATTTTCTCATAATCATGTAGAAACAGAAATTGAAATGTGGACATTGCAGTGAGGAAGAAATAGTGAAAGCAGTTCTAATATGCTCTAATAAGTTTGTAAAAACTTGTGCTTAATTTCAGAATATTTTATGTAGCTGATTCAGATGCAAATAATATGAGTCAAAATGGCTTAAGTTCTGTCTTACACATAAGAAAGCAAACTTCAGAATTTTAGAAAATAGACATTAAATAGTGACGTTAGTGTTAAATAAGAATTTAGCCCTATAACTTAGTGATTTTATTGTGAATATCCCACGTTGTATTCCATTTTATAGTTACAAAATACTTTACAAAATTTAACAATGCTTTTTAAGGAGAAAAGAGAGAAAAATCA